CCAATATTTTGTTATATACTTCCAGTATAAACGACAGTCACGGTGGAATAATTATAGCAAACAATTATCTGAATGTATGGTGATTTTTCAATTTGATGCCAAAAAAAGGAAAATCCACGAAAAACATCATACGTCGCATCATTTAAGTGTTATGCAAATTTGTTTGGATTTTGGATTTTTTGAGATTGTAAACACAACGCTTAGAGAAATTCATTAACAATTTGATAAAGAATTTAGTTACACAAATCTTGTCTCATGTATTTGTAATATATAATATGCTTTGCCGTGTTTCTAATGTTCTCATTTGGAGGTTTTTATATGTGTGTGTGTTATGTAAGACATTATTTGAATGAATGGATACAATATAATACGATGTAAAATTATCACCAGAGTTGTTATCCATTTATTTCTGAGCATTATATGCTGGAACTACCAGAATAATTTTATTAAATCTTTAGATTTAATAGGGGCTATCAACATATTGGTTGTTCTTGTGACACTTCGGTTTATTACAATTGTGACTAGAATAGAAGGACATGTCATAATAAGATATTGATAATGTTTATACATACTGATACTGATTATAAATGCCGATTCTTTTATCATCAAAGAAAGCTTAGGAAGAACTCCATGTTTACGAGTATTGGATGTTTGAGATAGACATAGAAATATGTGAAAATAAAAATTTCAAGATTAGCTTTTTGAACAAGAACCTGTACGCGGATATAGCTTTGCTCTTCGAGACGCACACAGAGTAAATATACAGTTTGAAGTTGGCAATACTAAACAGAAACTGTGGATTTTGTCAGAACACATACATTTGTATGTAATTATATATTATTATTTCAACCTATGAGCAAATGAGTTATGCAGACAGATAATCCTCGAACACATACATGTCCGAATTGTCATTGCTATATTGAGTGCTTCTTGAGTTATCATTGAAAAACCTTGCAATTGTGAATTATAATCGAAAATTAGATATTTAAATAATCACACATTTCGACCAAGGTCCACTCGGATCTAAGGAGTATTTGCAAAGCACCTGTGTAGCAAGTTTCAATGAAATTTGTAGAGTGCATTTTGACATAAAACAGCTAGGATTTATGTAAATTAACAAATAAATAAGCGTTGATTTCAACCCAAAACCGATATATTTGGGCAATGAACGAGAACCTAAGCAGTGTTATTGAAATATGGTTACTCTTGAGATATCAGTAGAAAAACATTATATTGGCAACTTATTATGCAAATTAGGTAATTGCTAAGCACAAAATCCCACAAAGAACTCAATCAATCAATCAATCAATCAATCAATCAATCAATCTCTTTGCGCTCGGTTGTAATTGGCATCACTATCCTTGTCCCTTCTAATGTTGTATGTTAAAATTATACAAATATGCAAACACGCAAGTTGAAATCCCATATATGCATGATGTGTCTAATTCTGGTACAAGTACATTCAGATTCAAACTTTAATTGCATCGATATGTTCAATAAAATAAAAGTACAAGTATAACATCTCTACCTTTTTTCAAAAAAATTGGCCAAGCTTAATGGAGAAAACGAAGAATATAGTGTGCTTTCCTCTGAAACATATAATGTATATTAATAAAAACATGATGTAGTATTGATTTCCAATACCGTGTTTTCAACCGAGTTGCATATTGAAATCAACTAGTTATTTATGACGGATAATAAATACTAGTAACCATGTCAGGCACTTAGTATAAGCAGCGATTATACATTTCTACACAGCTGTAGCTTAGACCAACTTATGTGATAGTTCTCTTGATACCACAGAGTAGTCTCCGTGTTGTAATGCTGTCTCTGCAGATTTCTGTTAAATGTTCAAATTATTTTTAAAATAACAAAACAAACTGAATATCATTACAATCTGTGTGAAATTAAGCTGTCAGTGGCACAATTTCGTCGTCTCAGATCATTGCCATTATTAAATCCAATTCGGCAATAGCATGAATGCAATGCAACGCTGATGGTGAATGCTGATACACTAAAATTTGATTATTCCATCTAGACATGAATGTTACAATTTATTGAGTAAGTGGTATACAAATTCACAGAAGGAAACCTGCTACAAAAATAGTACAACAATTGATTTATATCATTTTCCCGTAATTATGTAAATGGTTTTAAATATGTCTTGAAATCGTGCACTTTTATTAGTAAATATATCACATCTGTCAGTAGTTATGTTTTGTGAATTCTTTTCTTTTTGTTGCTGGTCATTTGTGTTGTGTTCTTGGAGTTATTTATTTGATTTTCCATTTGGGAAACAATACTTCCAACCATTTTAAAAGAAATATTTAGATAAATGTATGACACATTTTCATTGTCCAAAATATATGGGATACATTAACTTATATTAAATGTAGTACTATCAATGACATTGACAAATGTTGTCCTATCTATACGGATTCGCCGTCTCTGTAAGCAGATGTAGGCGTTACTTGAACACTAGAATGTTTTATATACGTGATCGATCGTGTTTTGTACCTTTGGTGCTAAATTAGAAAAAATGTACAACGTAGAAACGACAATCATACCGTAGGTTTGTATTTATTAATATATACATATACATGTATGGTGCATGGTCGTTATATACTAGAATGCTTGATGTGAAAAATCAAATGATTCAATTTAATGTATATACTTAAATAAAGTACATACAAGTGAATTCATAAGATAGTGTCAAGCACAGTACCAGGGCAGTCATGCCAGTCCGATTAGCAGATTTCCACGTGTCACATACAATTATTCACTGTATATGCGTACTGTACAAGAAAGTAGGTGAACGTTCTGCAGCAGGTTATCAACATTTTACAAATTGAAAACACTCGGTTCGATAAAAAGCATTAAACATAATCATCAAAGCCGGTTTCATAGATTTCTTAGGGATTTCTTTCAGTGTCTAGATGTACGCGAATTTAAAATCTCTGTGAAGCTGGCAATGAAGAAAATCAGTTGAAAAATGACATGCACCTGCCATAGTTAAAAATTGAACATTCCAATTATATGTTTCTATAAGAGTGATTCTAGTCTTCACATAGTGCACAAACAATATTCGCACAGAGAAACCTGGTAAATACAGGGCACCAGATTACACTCAAATATATTTGCCGGGACGCAATTTGGATTGCTGTTTTATTTGTTGTACAGGCGCCCTCGTATTTGTTTCTCATTAAACTTTTTAATCTCGGTAGTCTCAGATTAAAAAAAATAGATTTATGGCATGCGCAGTTTTATCAAAGTCAAGACTGATTGGTTGTTACTTAGTTTGGTAGTGTAGCAACACTAAACATAAATCGACTACTAGTATATCAAACGTTATCATATGTAAATTTCAGAACATAGTATAACCCGCATGTACAGTGCTCATTCGACTCTCAGCAAAAAATGGACAAGTATAGGTGTTTAGTTGCCACAATTGTTGTATTGCTGGTGTGTATCGACGATATTCAAAGTAGTCGAAATCCAATCAGTCTAATAGACAATGGTTATGAGACCATATTGATAGCGATTCATGAAAGTGTGCCAGAGGATCATCGGATTGTGGACAGACTCATAGTAAGCTGAGCAAATGTTATGTAATTGAACGAATGCATTAACTTTCAAGACATGCTTTACTGTCAATCTATTAAAACATTCAGCTCGTGGGCAAATCACAGTAATGTAAGGTACTCATATATGAGCAATGTATACACAGCGCTATCGTAATATACATGTACATGAATACTTTAACAATGTTTCTGCGTTTATGTTTTGATTTATCTGCAAATTAAACACTACTGGTTAAAGATGCAAAAAGTCGAAAAAAATGTAATTGTTATTTAACATTGTTTGTCTCTTTGGTGCAATTCCAGTGACTGAAGATCCAGTTCCGTTCAGAGAGTTTGGGCGTGTCACATCTGGAGGGTTGTTCCAGGTTGACAGTGGAGTGTACATTCCAGGAGATGATGAAGACTTAATCCCTCCAGAATGAATAACCGATATGGAAAGTCCTGTTTCTAATTATGGAGAACAAACCATAACATTGGTATGGACATCTGTGGGAGATGATCTTGACCAAGGGACAGGTAAATGAAATGCTACACTTACAATTGTCAATGAGACAGACCAGTAATGGAGTCAATTGGTCATTATCCAAAAAGATCTTGCACAAATGTCAATTCAACCTATGCTCGAATGTACCATATCAACATATATAAAATTAATTCTTACATAGTGTATAATATTATTTTCAGCAAGTTACTATGAAATACGTTATTCTATCTCCTTCGACGA